ATGTGGATGAGGCGCCGGACCCGTCAGAACCAATCATCGAGGATATTGTCGAACTGTGCGACTACTGCGTCAAGCTCACTGAAAGGATGTTGGAAAACCCTCCAGATGATCGTACCACGGTGAGTACATCATCAAATTTCGATCCAACGATTACGCCAGGGATGTGCCGCTTCTGCGAGGTTATTTCGAACTATCCATGGATCAGGAATATGGGGGTGAGAACGGAGTTCATCAGTGACCGGGACATGGGGCGACGGTGGAACCCCAAGGGACCAGGATACACCCGTATATGTGCAACACGTGTCGCGAAATGTACGTTTGCAATGTGGGCGGACCCCGGTAAGAAGCTCCAGATGTAGCATTCCTGGACGATACTAACAAAAGATTCAGGCAGCGCTGCATGTACAAGCTTGAACGATCGCTCACCAATACTTGGCCCACACATGGACCAAGTAGGTGATTTTATCCAGCATTGGCGAAAAGGTTGCAGTACTCACGAAAGCTGCATAGCTGAGTATGACACCGTGATGCCAACTCGTGTTCTAGCGCTTTGCGGAAACGAAGCACAACCTTCAGTTCGGCTCGTTAAAAGTCAAGGCCAGAGAGGACGATACATAGCCTTGAGTCATTGTTGGGGTTCGACTAAGAAGCGCCCACCCCGGACAACGTCCGATAACCTTGAAGCACAGCAAGCTGGCATCGCGTTCGAAGATCTACCAAAGACATTTCATGATCTCGTAGAGCTTGCACAAGTCATTGGCATTCGATACGTGTGGATCGACTCTCTCTGCATCATACAAGACGATCCTCAGGATTGGTATCATGAAGCAGAGAGGATGGGAGATGTATATCGAAATGCGGCTTTGGTTGTAGCTGCCTCGGGCGCAAGAGATTCCAGTGAAGGTCTATTCATCACCGATCGTGCAAGAGCAAAAGTCTTTCGACTACCTTACCGTAAGAACGGCGAGGTCCAGGGGAAATTCAACATGACGAAATTGTCCGAAGGATGGGATCCAAGATATGGTCCGCTTGAGAGTCGAGCGTGGACGCTTCAAGAGCGCTATCTTGCGCGACGGTTTCTCGCTTTCATGCCTCAGAGGGTTACATGGATCTGTCAAACAACATCAAGAGATGAGGTAGGCTGTTGTTATGATATCGGGGCTTACTATACATGGCTTCTGCATCTGCAAGAGTACACCAAAAGGTCTCTAACAGTTCCTTCAGATCGTACCAAGGCTCTCAGAGGAATCGCTGCAGAGATGCAGCGTCTCCGGAAAGATCGATATATTGCGGAGTACGGTGTGTGGGAGAAAGGGCTCGTAGTTCAACTGCTTTGGTGGGCCGACACCCAATGCTTTGAAGACTTACTTAGAGTTCCTTCATGGAGCTGGGCAGCGACTAGGGGTACTAAGGTATGGCCGGCTGGGAGCACTTGGGAAGAATATGAGTCTGTCCAGCAATCGCAGGAGATGCCGAAGCACCTGATGATCACTACAACCGGCCGCCTCCAAGTATCTGGCCACCTGGGCACCAAGCAGCTGGTTCGAAGCCGCGTGCATGACGCCTCCACTATGAGCGACCTCGACCTTGATGAGCTTGAAAAGTTTCATGATCGATACGCAAAGCTCTACCCCGAAAGATGCAGACATTTCCATGTTGTCACGCAGGACAGGCACGAAGCTGGCTACCAAACAGTACTAGGGATTGCACGATTCGATAATTATTCAACGATGTCATATACACATATGTGTTTTCTTGCGAAACCAAAGCGCAAAAAGGCGGAGGAATCTCACAATAGGGGGCCAGACAAGGAAAACCATCCCGTCATACTAGTGCCTCGATCGGTGCGAGAGCAAACCATTGTAAGAAGCAACTACGTCCACTTGCGAGCTAAGATTAATACTTACCAGGGAAATGTGATCTACTGCATTGAGCAGCACCCAGACTTTGTGTACTGGGCGCTTCTTCTTGAGCAGGTCAGCGATAGCGAGTTCAGACGCGTGGGTATGGGAACATTCCTGCCCGCCGCATACGAAGCTTTGCAAGTCCAAGTTCAAGAGTTCGAAATCATCTAGGCTTTACAGCCTACAATAGCGTTGAACAGGAAGATCGACATATTTGAAAGCAATGTAGACTTCTCAGTCCTAGATTCATAACCATGGTATCTTCGCATCCCTCATATCTGTACTACAGCGCCTAACACCTCCTCACATCTTCATCCCCCCAACCCTCCCCTTCTCCGGCTCCCCCTCCTCATTCTCATACAGCGGATTAACCTGCACTTCCCTCAACCACAGCCTAAACGACTTATCCAACGTCTTCGCATTCATAACCGCGCAATCCTTGACCTCCTGCGCACTCAAATACGACACCCCCTCCGCATCGCCCCCCGCAATCGCAATCGCCCGCTGCAGCAATATGCAGTTCTTCTGCGTGTATATCGCCCGATACACCGCTTCCTCGATGCTAGCGCCGAACGTTGTGAAGCCGTGTTTGTGTTGTAGTACAACGGGGTTTTCGGGGGAGAAGCGGGAGGCGAGAGCGGCGCCGAGGGCTGCGTTCTTGATGAGGAGGTCGTGTTCGGAGGGCGCTGATGTTCCACGGAGACTGTCCATTGTGAATACCTTGGCGCCGCCCAGGCCCATGAAGCCCGCCATGTGGAAAACGGGTCGTACGGGATGCGGTTCCATCGTGCCGTGTCCGACCGTAAAGGGAATAACGTCCTCGGAATGCGAGTGCACAACGCAATTCACCTTGGGAAACTTCCTTAGTATCTCCCCGTGGATATACCGCTCACTGTATCCCTGCGGCGCGTCGGCATCAACGGGCGAGGAGTCCTTCACCCAGTACGATATAAAGTCGCTCATGTTCTTGACGAGGGCTGGGGCGCCGGGGTCGTAGCCCGCGATGATGTATTGCTCCTTGTTGAGCGGGTGTCTTACGGAGATATGGCCGAATGCGTCGACGAGGCCGTGGTGGTGCAGGATGTGGTTTGCGCGGATGAGCAGGCGCAGTTGCTGCTGGAGTTGGGGTGGTATGGACATCTTAGGCGCTCGCGACTTGCGCTCTTTGGGCTGCGGCTGGGTTGGCGTGGGCGGGCCTGTTTTGAGCGACTCCGCGTTGAGGGACTCGGCTTTTAGCGATTCGGTGCGCGCTTCTTCGATGATGGATAGTTCGCGTTGTTTTGAGGGTCGGAGGTATTCTTCGGGCTGGGCTGGGTGCAGGGGATGCGATGCTAAGGCGCGTGGATGCGTTGCTTCGGCGGCGTCCCTTTGGGTCTGTTGAGCGGCGCAGTAGTTGCAGAGTACCATTTGGCTGTTCAGCACTTAGAGGAGTGCATGATGCTGAGTATAGAGGACGCTTGCCTCGTCTTATGGGTCTCGCGAGTGATGTTTCAAGGTGGCGATGGAAATAGTAGCGTTTGAAACCGCGGATGCCTTGGAGTCGCTAGCACTCTCTCTAGGTCTTCACCTGCGTCGCGGACTCGGTGGTGTCGCCTGAGTGCGATGTGAGACAATGCGAAAGGCGAATGACGCTTTGCGCCTGTCGTGCGCGATGTTGCTGGTGCATCGTGACATGGTGGTGGATGGGTCGCGGAGGTGTTGCGGGGATGCAGCCGGGTCATTGGGCGAGAGTGAGGGGATCCGATCGTCTAGCGCCGTTAGCCTTCCCGCTCGCGACAGCCCTGTCCCTCACTCGCCCCACATCGCGCGGCCCCCATTAACCTTCAAGTCCGCATCTTGAAACGGAACACCGCAAACTCTCAGACTCGCGACGTCGACCCCGTCTCCCAACCCTTCTTTTAGAAGCGTTCTGTTGATCGCCACGTAGCCTCGTTCAAGATGGCCGCCCAATACGTGCTGGCTGGCCTAGCAGCCGCAGGACTGGCCTTCTGGTATGACTTCAAGAGCTGGCAAAGCTTTGGTTCGCGATCCTCTCAGCCCGTGTGAATGCGATTGCTGAGTCGCCGCAGGAACTGGTGGCACGCCTCCAACATTAGAAGGCTACGTCAAGATCCGTCGATGGGGACTCTACTTGCTCTACACGCGCCAGAACCTGCTCGATGCATCTCCGATTCCCGATACGGGCGCGTCTTACATCAATCCTCAGAAGGTGCCGGACCGCGTTGGCCGTAGACCAGGACTTACACGCTGGACACTACCACAACGCCAGTTCCCCGAGGAGATAACACCTGCTGCTTCCACGACTCTCCACGATCTCATGCGCGAGTTTGCGGATACGAAGGCGTACTCGGAGTATATCGAGACACGACCGAGCAAGACCGAAGGCGGCACTGGACCTGCCATATACGTCAAACCAAATGTCAAGACCATCAACCCCGTCGCGCACAAAATCTTCTACGAGGTCGCGCATGTGCATCCGGCAGAGAACTCGCTCCATGTGTATGTGAGCCCACAAGACGCGAGACTGGTGATGAAGAGGGGTTGGGGACAGCGCTTTCCAGTGACCTGGTTGGCACCGCCGAGCTGGATCATGGTGTATGCGCCGAGGAACGAAGAGGAAGTGGAGACTGTGAGGGAGATCGTCAGGGCTGCAGTATGTCATGCTGTTGGGATGAATGTCGATGCTGGAGTTTGACTGGGCGGAGGCGCGACACGCGGAGGTACCACGCATGGTCAGTATAGCCGAGCGCAATTGTCCAACCCATTTCATGACTACACTTCTCGGAGACGTTTAAGCCCATGCGTAAACTGTGTTGCGTTCGATGTCTGGGCACGGCACTGGGGAGGAGAACCGACGCCGGACGCTAGTAACGACGGCGCCCGCCGCATCCGCCGCATCTGCATCGCATCCCCCACTCTCTTGCGCTAGCTTACACATGTCGCCCGGCTTGGACGACCCTGCAGCATGGCTACGATCCGGCATGGTATGTTAAGACCGCTGATGCCGCGACACAGTGTCTCTCGAACCTGTCATCGCGTCTTGCCTCCAGCGTCGCAATCTCACACTCGCCACACTCCACACCGCATCCATCCAACATGGGTAGCATCGACACCAGCCTAAAAGTCATCGTCATCGGCGCCGGTGTGTAACCAACCCCTCAACACCAGAAACACTTACTAACACACCAAGGCCCCGCCGGCTGCGCGCTCGCTCACGGTCTCAAGAAAGCAGGCATCTCCTTCGCCATCTACGACAAAGGCGCCGACGTCTACCGCCACCGTCACTGGGCCTTCACATTAGGCTGGGCACGACCATAACTCTTTGACCTCATCCCGGAAGAGCTCAGCGCGCAGATCAACTCATGTCAAGTCGACCCCTACGTCGACTGCGCCGCGCTCGGCGAAGATAGAATTGTTATTTATAATGGCCAGACGCGAGAGGAGGCGTTTGCGTTCCCGATACCAAAGGCGCGTGAGATTAATATTAGAAGACTGCGTATGTTGTTAGCTGAACGATTGGATGTTAAATACAGCAAGAGCTTCTCGCACTATGAGACAACCCAGGACGGCGGCGTGAAAGTCCACTTCGAAGACGGCACAACCGACACCGGCACCATCCTCATCGGCCTCGACGGCGCCATGTCAAAAGTGCGCCGCTGCCTCCTCCCCCACTCCGGCACTATGGACACCCTCCCCTTCGCCCTGATGAACTTCAACGCTTCCTACACCGCCTCCCAAGCCCTCTTCATCAAACAACACCTCCACCCCCTCGTCGACATCGCAATCCACCCTGCAGGTCACTACATCCGCGCAAATGTGCTCGACATGCCCGACGAGAAAGACGCTAGTACCTGGACTTTTCAGATCTTGTCTACCTGGCCGCTGAAGTACGTTGAAGATCATGATAACGAAGACGGGCGGTTGGAAAGGCTAAAAGCGCATGTGAAGCGCGATGGCTGGGCGGAACCATACAAAAGTGCGATTGAGTGGATACCAGAGGACACACCTGTGTTACGCGATCAGCTCAAGATATGGAAAACCGTCCCCTGGGACAACCAAAACGGACGGGTGACGCTGTGCGGCGACGCAGCCCACGCCATGACGTTTCACCGTGGGCAGGGCGCTAATAATGCGTTCTACTCTGCGCATTGCCTTGTTGAAGCGTTGAAGAGCGTGCAGAGTGGGAGTAAGAGTTTGAAAGATGCGGTCACGGCGTATGATGAGAGTATTTGGAAGAGGGGCGCGAATGAGGTGCAGATTAGCAAGGCGCAGACGTTCTTTACGCATGATGGGTTGGAGGAGTTTGTTAATAGTCCGGTTATGGCGTTGGGGACGAAACCTAGTCATGCTGCGAGGACGGAGGGGTATCAGTAGATTTATGGTGGACTAGACTAAATCACACAAGACCTGCTGCCTTGGCTGCCTCTGCCCACGAGGGGTCTCTATGCCGTCTCGCGTCATCTTCTGCTATCTCTCGGCTTGACCGCTTGCGTTTCAAGTTTGTGGCATTCGGCAACAGCGCGTTGCCAGGATCTGAACACTGTTAGCTTAGAGCCCTTCAGTCAATCGATCGCGAATCGATAGTTATGCTGCATCCCTACCTTGTTGCGCTAACGAGATGTCTTGAACACCCTGCAGAGCTCTAAGCCCACCCTCGAGGACCTTGAGTTTGGCAGTCCACCGCTTTCTCTCCCCGGCAGCTTCTTCGCTCTCGGAAGCCAACGCAGTCACTGACGTATCGTCCAGGTCGATGACGTCAGCTGGCGAGAACAAAGTCGGAAGCTCTTGGATGAAACATGCTTCGACGGCGAGTACCGCGAAGTCGTCGATGAGTCTCTTGAGGGCGACTTTATAATAAGCCTCCATGAAATCGGTCGCAGTAGAGCTGGCGTAACTATTCATGTTTGCTTCCGTCTTGGCGAGCAGAGTGTTGACCAACGTGTCCACGTTAATGTGAAGTTTGACGGTGCCCTTGCCGCTGTGGTCATCGCCGATAACTTCTTTCAGTGATTTCCTAAGCTCTCGGGATTGCCGTTGGCTCTGCGCCTTCTGCACGTTGTCCGTGAGGTAGTGGTTGTACGTGATTGGGTGGCTAGTGTCGTGAGGTGTAAGAAGTTCCGCAACTTTGACGCGAAGCGCATCGGTCAGTTTCGCCAATCGAACAGTGATGTATTGCCTTGAGATGCCAGTTCGGGTTGTTTCGTCGCACACGTGGTCCAGTGCCGTGCGAGCTAAGACATCGGCAGCACGAATGATGACCTCCAGGCAGTCATCGACAAGCTCCGGCCACAGCTTTCGCTGTTCGTGGAACAACTGCCCGACAATAAGCGGATCGAACGTGCCAGGCAGTTCCCGACCTCTGCTTCGTTCCAGAAGTTTGTTCACCTTGATGATGTAGTCTGCGCGATACATCTGGCGCTCGGATAGAGGTTCAGTCGGCACTTCGTCTAGGATGGTGATAGCATGGCCTTCCTTGCGCATGTTGGCGGCGAAATCTATCAGGGTAGTCTGGAGAACAGCTCGCAAGCGCCGCTGGTAACCCTCATCGGTAGAAGCGTCACCAAAGAAAGGGTCTGAGTATTGCCCGTCGACCGCAGCTCTGAGGAGTGAAGTGAACGACTCGCTGGCTCGTAGAAGGTACCGGCGCTGCTCATGTGGTGTGTCACGGGATGAGCCAATAGCGTTGAGTCGTGTCGTACATTCCCCAATACCGCTCTTGATCTGCGCAAGCACGTCAGGGAGTTGTGCGACGATATGGTCCTTGAGAATCTGGCTGAGCCTCGGCTTCAGGCTGTCAACTCCAGTTTGATCTGCTGAAAGCTCCCGCCAGACTCCGGCTGCGAAAAAGAGAGCTTCGGCTGTGTCGCGCTCTTTTGTAGTCGCATCCCTCGAAGCGTAATCCCGGTTACGAAGCACATGCCATCCCAATCGAAATTTCACGTCCTTGTTTTGAGCCAAGTCAAGATAGAATCGCTCCATGTCAGATCCCTTGTCGAGCGTGTCCGGCTTGGTGATCAGTCCAAGGGTACGTTCTCCGGCTGGATCGATATCGCGCGAATACTTGGTAATTGACTGGTTGTTGAAGTCATTTTTGGCAGATACGACGGCTAGTATGATGCTGCGTGGATTCATCATGTACGAGAGCACGAGCGACTTTACCGTTTCGGCATCTGTGTCTGATTGAGCCCGACTTCCAGCTTGGAACAGGCCGGGTAGATCGACAAGGGTAAGGTGCGGTTGATTGCGTCCAGATAGCTCCAGGCGAAGAATGTCGGAGCTGAACACTTTACCGCCTCCTTCGTTGATACCCATCGCTTCTTTCGCTGCCTCAATCACTGGCTCAAGATCTAACTCTTCCAATTCAGCGGAGTAGTGGAACTCGCGCAGCTTCTCGAGATCATCTTCCGAGCGATCCTTCTCATGTGAACCAGGGACGATGCTGATCTTGATCGGTGCTTCCGGGCCGCGTCGAAGAATCAGCTCAGTCGCGAACCTGGTACAGAGGTTATCCTTGCTGGGGAACTTGACGCCGGATACCGCTTCCAGCACAGAGCTCTTGCCGGAAGACTGCTCGCCGCATACGATGATCTCAGGAAGGTTGATGTATCGATTGATGCCATGTGATCGGAGATTGTCGACAAGATCCAAAAGATCTCTCGTTTCAGTAGATTGCAGAGACATGTTTGGTCAGCTGTAAGTGCTTCGTTCCACGTTAGATATAGAGCAGTGTAGGAACTAAAAGTTTGCTGTGAGCACAAAGAGCACAAGAACGATGAGAAAGCGCAAAGAGTGATTGTAATGCACAACAAAGGCATGAGTAGTCAGCGTGGCGTCTCGAACAAGCCAGAAACACTTGCAACATGCTGAATGTGCCTGTCATTGCCCTACATGTTTGCGCAACCTACCGGTGGTGGCATGACATCGCTCGAATGATGGCCTACCACGATTTGCTTCTGCGACGCATCTCGCTGTCTTCAACTCAAGATGCAGCGTGGGAGACCACAGGCAAGCATAACGCAAGTGATGAGCCTTCTCGCGATGTAGGGCCTCTGAACATGCAGAGATCATCAGCAATGTTAGGCGGTGAAGAAGGCAATGATGGTCGGTGACGCGACGGCCCGACGCTGATACCGTAGTCTCCTCGGGAACCCGAACATCTATGCTGCGTAGCATAAAGTAGTCATTCGCTATCAATGGCACAGTTGTTTGCCACAGTGCTTGATGCCGGCGTTGGGATGCGGCACACCTTTGCCGGCTGCAGGGAAGAGCGCCCGCCCGATGTGACACGTAGCCTGGGGACCGCTGGAGGCAGCAGGTTGCGTCGCGTCATCCGCCATTGGATGATGTCCCAGTGCGTCCGTCATCATTGTGCGGGCTGGCGACGTTGGGAGCTGGCGTGGTCACCGTCCTGATGTACTCCAAGGTTATTGTTACTCACCTGGAGCGCGTGTGCTGGATGGCGCTTTCCTGTCACAAGGCTGCTAGTCTCGGCAGCCTTACCCGAACAGTATTAGCACTCGGTGCCCAGCGGCCGCGAACACGGCGTGCATCCTTTCGGTCAACGACATCAGTCTGATTGCTCCCCGTGATGTTGATCTTTGGCCCACCACGCGAAACCCGGCCTGCAACGTGGCTTCATCGGTAGGCTTACGGTGTCTCACGTTGCGTGCGCAGCCACCCCTCGGTCTCCCCCGAAGATCAATGTCACGTGTATCCTAGGTGATCGATTGAAGATTGAAGTCGTTCTTCGCGGAAACGACAGCGAGTAGTCTTGTTGGTTTTGTTGTAAGTTGAATGTAAGGCAATGCAGGAGGCTACGTTGCCTTAGTACCTTGTGAAGTTGAGCTTCTTAGACCAACGTAGGCGGCACGCCTGTTTGATGTTTTATTTGTACAGCTGCAGACTACACGAAATAAGCCTACGGTTGTTGTGAGTTTTGGGAATGCAAAGAATGCGTTGATGGTTTGCGAACGAACCCATACATCAGGCGAAGTTTCCACGGCTTATCTAAGTAAAGACTGCCTGGAGCCTACAGTGTGTAAGCCTTGTAACCGAAAAAAAGTGCGCATAGCTACCGCCGGTCGCGCAGCGCTGCTCGAATGACTACCGCGTCTGGCTCTCAAATGCATTCGTCCGCGTTTCACCCCAAATCGCGGCGCGAAACTTCGCGTTCGAGCGCCTGTTGATTGCCATCAACATGCAGCGCGCCTGGATCAGCGAGGATCAGTAATACGACAAGTGGAAGAGGCTTCAAAATTGAGGGACGCGACTGGTAGGGGATCTTCCCGCGGGGTCCATAGGAAGCCCAACGACCGTTCTGTTAGCCAGGTTTCAGCTATCCGCCATCGATGCAGCAGTTGCTTGTCATTCTGACAGCATTGGGACGCGGCAGTGCATGTTGGCAGTGCCAGGCTGCAGCGATCGCACACAGTGTGGCACAGCACGCTGACTTGTTTGCTGACGTAGGCAGCGGCGTCCGGGTACTGCAGGATATCGCAAGTTACAGTTCATCGTTAAGTTTGTGGGCGGCCTTGAGAAAACGTCTCTTATCACGTATAAGGTGGTGAAGTCAAGGTTACGGCCATGGCGCGGGGGCGTTCCTGTCGGGCGCGTCAAAGCGGCCGCTAGCTACATCCAGCCTTACCCGAACAGGCCTGCCCAACCCGGCGAACATCGTCCGGATCGCGTAACCCCCGTTTCCGATTGACCACATCAGCCCGCCCGCTGTCACTCTGCGGCGTCGACTGCCTCTTCCGCGACCTTCCACCCACCGCGCGAATCAGATCTTTGCGACATGGCTTCATTGATGTGCTAACGGCGTCTCGCCTCGCGCAGCCACCCGCGGCTCACGACGACTCATTCTTCGATCGCAACCTTGGAAAGCTCTGGAATGGAACCCCATGCGTGCCTGCGACCTCTGCTTTGGAGCCCAACGCCGCGCAACGCTTCCTAAGGATTACAAGGGACAATCCGACACGCTTGGACTGACAACAGTAGCGTGGAAGTGGTGTGCATCACAGATAGCGGAACAAGCCGCAAGGGTCAGTGAGAACACTACTCCCATTCGCACGATAGACAATTGTGTTGCATACTGGCGAATATCTCACAAGCCTCGACGCGACGTCAAGGAACAAGTCAATGGCAACCATGACAAGACGGTGCGATGGATCCGAGATGTTTGATGTTGAAGTTCTCAACAGATGCGGCTCAAGCGGCAGCTCCTGGTGAGGCCGCGCAGATTTAGATCAGCCACATGGAACCAACCAAGAACACTTGGAACCACCCTCCCGGAAATTGGCCCAGTTTCCAGCCTTCCGTGGGTTTTCACCGAGCTTCGCGATTACCAAGCGATCGAGTAGCATCACGTCAAAGGATCGTAATTCGAGTCAGGGTCCAGCCGCTGTGGAGACGGATTGTGGATCATCCATGGATTGCTCGCGTGTCGCCCGCCTTACGGAAAATCCTTCACCGACACAGGCCATTCTCTTGTCCCTGCATGCATGGCGCTCGTGTCGAGGTCTTTTCCCAAGTCATGTCAACCCCTATGGAAAAGGACGCGCCGAAGGGTTCACAGTTTACATAGCCGTCTCCCCGCATGGTGGGTTCAGAGTTGGTCCGATTTCCAGACCACATTTCCACCGACAACAATGCCGCGAGAAGATCGATCCGGAGAGTTCACCGGTGTCCTGGGCTTCTTCATCTGTATTTGCACTCTGCTAGTACTGCTTCGATGCTACTGCAAGCTGGTCCTCGTGAAGAACTTCGCGGCCGATGACTACTTCTCTGTTCTTACCCTGGCGGCCTTCTTGGTCTATTGTAGCTCCGCGCTGCTAGGTGTCCATAATGGGACCGGGAAGCGACGATATCTCATCCCGGATGAAAAGTATCCCATCGGTATGAAGGTGTGTAATACCACGTCTACAGTATATTCCATAAGGCTAACAACTCGAACTAGTGGTGGTGGACTTGCGAGCCCACATACGTTGTTACGAATATCTTCCTCAAGATGAGCATCGGCATCTTCCTTCTGCGCATTGCCCGGGATAGAACCCATCGCATGATTCTTTGGATCGCCCTCATCGCCATCCAAGTATACAGCGTGTACTTCTTCTTTGTCTTCACCTTCCAATGCTGGCCTGTCTCGTTCTTCTGGGAACAGTTCCGCGGCGGCAAAGGACATTGCATCCCCTCTAGGTTCGTCGTGAACTCGTTCTACGGCTACTCTGCACTGTCCTGTGTCACGGACTGGACATTCAGTATTGTTCCAATCTTCATCGTGCACAACTTGCAGATGGACAAGAGGAAGAAGATGACGGTGGTTGTTGTACTCGCCTGCTGCGCTATGTAAGCTCATTCCGCTTCTAGAGTCTTCCTTGCATCGTATGCTAACTCCACGCCAGTGGCTCCACCGCAACAGTCGTCCGCATCCCATTCATAAACGGCCTCAACGATATACCCGACTTCCTATACACTACCACCGACGTCGCGATATGGTCTACCGTCGAAACCGGAATCGGCCTTGCGACCTCCGCCGCCGCCACGCTCCGTCCCTTGCTCCGCCAGGTGTTTGGTGAAATTTCGACGCATGATAGCGCCTCTCGTAAGCACTCGCGCATGTGGAATTCCGCCCACCCTTCACGATCAGGGTACCTGGAACAAGGAAGCCAGCAAGGCGGAAACGATATCCAGCTCAGTAATCATGATTCGAAACACCACACTGTCCATGTTACAAGTGGGAATGCGAGTCCGAGTGGGAGTACGATCGAGTTGAACATGGAGTGGGAGCAGGATAAATACAATGGAACGGCTGATGCAGCTGCAGCGGGGCACAATGGGATTATGAGGAATGTGAAGATCACGCAGATGTAGAATGAGGTTAACTTGTAATGAAAGCTATTGCGAACTAACGTCAACGACTTACCAATCCACCAATGCGCTCACCCAAAGCTATTGCGCGAGCGAGGGTTCGCTTGGGAATGGACACTTTCCTTTGCCCTGTTGCCGTGACCACCCCGAGCCAGGAACAGACCGCAGTTTGGATCAAAGGCGCACCCACACATCCTCTTGTGGAGATTGAACCTTTCGTGAATTACTGCTCGCATCGTCAAGCTCACCCCTGTGGCGCAGAGGGCGGGCGCTAGTCGCGGCAGCCTAGCCCAAATGGTACTGATCTTCGGCGGCTCCGCGCGAACATCATACGGCTCCCACAATCTAGATCTCCTACACCCTCTCGACTAACACCACGACAGCTTCGAAAAGGTCCATGGCTTTCCCATTGCGGCCTTCAGCTCACCGCATTGAGTATGCTTTCGCGAGAGGGCTTCATCGGCCCGCTTGTGGCTTCGCATCGTGTAGCTCTACTCTTTCGATCGAACCGGCGACCTTCACGACAGCGATGCGATCATGAGGGCCATAAATATCATCGCCATAGCCCTCGATATGAACCATCGCGAACTGTCTCTCATTACCTCCTCCGTCGGACATTGTCTGGCAGCCCTTCCTTTCGCCTCGCTCGTCACTCGTTCAGTCTCGCATCCAACACCATTTCACGAATAATTCTCAATACATAATTCGGCATCATGCGATCAATCCTCCTTGCTTTCTTTACCGCTCTTCCTATCATAAACGCTGCTGTGAGCAGTCCGCGCATTTCCAAGACCGGCCGCTGCGGAAGCAGCTTT